GCATCGGAAACAGATAGCATGTTACGTAATTTAGCAATGTTTCTAAGATGGAAAAAGGCCGTTCTTGTAACATATGAAATATGATTTTCGAAAGACAAGTTGTGGTCTAGTATAACTCCCAGGTCTTTTACCGTAGAGGATAAAGTAACAGGACATCCTTCTATATTAAAGTTGTATTGTAAGTGGTTTTGTGGATAGTTTTTTGGACCAACAAGTAATACCTCCGTTTTATCTGGATTTAGTAGCAGGAAATTATGCGTCATCCAGCATTTTATATCTTTAAGACACTCTGTCAATTTTGATGAGTTAGTGTTTTCATCTGGCCGTGATGAAATATATAATTGAGTGTCATCGGCATAACAGTGGAAATTAATTCCATGTTTTCTTATAATATTACCAAGTGGCAGCATATATATTGAGAATAGCAGAGGGCCTAACACCGATCCTTGCGGCACTCCATAGTCTACTGACGTTATCTTCGATTTTTCCCCATTTAAACAAACAAAATGGTAACGGTCTGATAAATACGATCTGAACCAGCTTAATGCCTGTCCCTGAACACCAGTGTAGTTTTGTAGTCGATCCAAGAGTATTTTATGATCGATAGTGTCAAACGCAGCACTAAGATCGAGTAGAACTAGTATTGAGATACAGCCTTGGTCAGAAGCTAAAAGTAAATCATTTGTAATTTTAACTAGCGCAGTTTCTGTGCTATGATGCGGTCTGAATCCTGACTGAAATTTTTCATATATCTCATTTTCTTGCATGAAAGAGCACAATTGAGCGGACACAGTCTTTTCTAGTATTTTAGACATAAATGGAAGATTTGAAATCGGTCTGTAATTTGCTAAGTTATTTGGATCTAATTGCGGTTTCTTAATGAGAGGTTTTATTACTGCCAGCTTGAATATTTTTGGAACATGACCTAAAGATAAAGACGAGTTAATAATATTAAGAAGAGGCTCTTCCACTACAGGTAACACTTCTTTCAGAAATTTAGTTGGTATTGGATCTAATAAACATGTTGTTGGTTTAGATGCAATGATAAGTTTATTTAGCTCTTCCTGTCCTATAGTTGTAAAGCGGTGTAGTTGTTCTTGAGGGGCGATAGTTGAGGCTGAATCATAAGACACCATAGAGGATTGTACATTTACAATTGTGTTTCGGATGCTTTCTATTTTCTCATTGAAGTAGTTCATAAAATCATTACAGCTATACTGTAACGGAATAATTTGCTCGGGTGATGTCTGTTTATTTGTTAGTCTAGCCACGGTGTTAAATAAAAACCTTGGATTATTTTGGTTATTTTCTATTAGTTTGCGGAGATGCTCAGCCCTGGCTGCTTTTAGAGCTTTTTTATAACGAGACATACTGTCTTTCCACGCGATTCTAAAGACCTCTAAATTAGTTTGTTTCCATTTACGCTCTAGGTTACGAGTTTCTCTCTTGATAGCATGCGTAGCACTGTTGTACCATGGTGCTTTAGTTTTCTCTCTAACCTTTTTTGATCTAATTGGTGCAACAATATCTAATGTACTAGAGAAAATGGTGCTCAAACTGCTAGTCATTTCCTCTAGTTCATCTGTTTGTTTGGGTTCACTGAGCAGCTGAGATAGATCAGGTAAGCTATTTGAGAATCTATCTATAGTGGTTGGAAGGATTGTTCTGCCTGGTCTATAACGTGGCGCAACATGACAAATTTCAGCAGTGCGTATTATACAAGTTACCATGTGATGATCGGTGAGATCGTCACTTTGCGGTATAATATCTATATCGGTTGGATTGGTTCCGTATGATATAATTAAATCTAGTGTATGATTTAGACGATGAGTGGGACCACTGACATTCTGCTTGACCCCAAAGGAGTTTAATAAATCTGTAAACGCAGTCCCTAACGCATCGTTTGTGTTATCTACGTGTATGTTAAAATCTCCAACAATTATTGCTTTATCGGCATTGACCAATAGATCTGAGAGAAAGTCTGCAAACTCTTTTAGGAAATCAGCATATGGTCCTGGAGGTCTATATACAGTAGCCAAGGCTAGAGATAATAGGGATTTATTTCTTACATCTAAGAGCGCAACGTTTAGCACCAGTACTTCAAACGAATTAAACCTGTGACCTGTTTTCTGAGTTACATTAAGAATATCTCTATAGATTGTTGCAACACCGCCGCCACGACCGATCAGACGGGGCTCATGCTTATAACAGTATCCTGGCGGGGTAGACTCATTTAGACCGAAATACTCGTTTGGTTTAAGCCAGGTTTCAGTAAGGCAAAGTACATCGAAGCTATTATCTGTGACCATTTCATTTACAATAACCGCCTTCGGTGTGAGCGATCTAATGTTTAGAAGACCTAGTTTTAGAAATTGTTTTTGTTCACTGATATTTAGATTTTCAGGTTTAATTACAATAAGATTTTTCCTGGATCCTACAGTGGATTTATTATTTGGCCTCACTAAACGAGGAATAGACACAGTTTCTATATAATATTCTACACTACTTATATCAATTAAATTGGCACAGCAAAGACTGTGATTTGGAATTTGATTTTCTAGTCATACGGTGTGTAACGTCTTGGAGATATTGTCCGACAGAACAGCCGCTCCGGCTCTGCTGGGGTGCAGGCCATCAGCACGGTAGAGCCTAGGTCGCTCCCAGAACAGATTCCAATTATTTACAAAGAGCAGTTTTTGTTCATTACACAATGACATTAACCATTCATTAAGTGCAAATAATCTACTGAACCTTTCCTGTCCTTGTCGGTACGTGGGAAGCGGTCCAGACACGATGATCGTTGCCTCAGGCGCTGTGCTGCGTACCGTCTCGATCAGGCTCCTGTAGTCCTTCTTCAGAACCTCAGTCTGCCGCAGCCTGATATCGTTTGTTCCAGCGTGAAGCACCACAGCTCCGACGCGCTCGTCACCGTTCAGGATTTCGGGAACCTGTGCGGCGACATCAAGAACACGAGCACCAGGAAGGCAGTGAGTGCGCACCTTACCCTTACCTGAGGTAGCGCGGACATGACGGACCATGGAAGTGCCGATGATCACGGCGTCGTCGCGTTCCGACTCGCGAAGAGGGGAGAAGCGGTTCCGGGTGGAGATCTCGAAGACCGGGAGGGGCGGAGAGGTTCTTGCTCTGGTCCTGGCTCGTGTCTTCCGCTGTGGGATCACCCAGGGTCCATTGTGTTGGGTTGGTGCCGGAGTGAATGATGCCAGAGATGATCGCGTCCTCCTGGGCAGAGAAACGCACGGAGTGGACGAAGTCGGAGTCAAAAAGTTACTAACCACTGACTTGTGTGCATCGGCGCGTGACGTTTCAAGCGCTGATCGCCGATCCCGCAGCTCGGCTTGCCTCTCTAGCAGACCACGGATCTGTTTCTCCACTGATTCAAGCTCCAATCGTACCGAAATGAGTTCGAATGTGTCCTCACCTGCACTCAGAGGTAACGTTAGACACACATCTGATATGTTCGCCATAACAGATGAACAGTAGATTAGTAGTGATACTACCAATATCACTAGTAATTTAGGACTGAAATGCTGGATATAACCTGTATCCTTTCAGTGAAACGGGTGTAAAATCAGACGGTCAATAGGCGCGAGGCCACGCGTGAAATGCTAGCGGACTAAAGGCTAGTAGCCGAGATTCGCAAAGTTGGGTCTAAGTAGCGATATCAAAGCAATCCGATTGTTTTTTATAAGGAATAGTATCGAGGATAAGTTCCCATGATATAAAAATAGAAAGTGCTTGTTTATAAATGAGTGGTAAAAAAGAAAATCAAGGATTAATGAATTGATTCGACGGAGCTTTCAAACACAAACACCGACTGCTCTCCGTAGCTTTGAGGGAAAAAACATCCGGGTTGCCCAATCCTGCTCTGAGAGTGTGTGTGTAAGAGAGTGAGTAAGTGAGTGTGTGTGTGTGTGTGTGTGTGTGTGTGTGTGTGTGTGTGTGTGTGTGTGTGTGTGAGTGAGAGAGAGTGTGTGTGTGTGTGAGTGAGAGTGTGTGTGTGTGTGTGTGTGTGTGTGTGTGTGTGTGTGTGTGTGTGTGTGTGTGTGTAATAAATTTGCTCAAATGTTTTCATGTTGTTTGATTATATGTGGTTGTGTGTGTCAGAGTTCAGCCGGCGCTGGTGTGTTCTGAACGACGGGAACTTCAGCTACTATGAAAGTGACAAAAACGCGACGCCGAACGGAGGACTGAAGATGAAGGAGATCGTGTGCCTGGCCGTCAACCCCCCCGAGACTCATGGGTAATCCTGCACACCGTGTGTGTGTGTGTGTGAGCTCTTCCTCAGGGGCTGACAGTGTTCCTCTCTTCCTCAGGTACGATCACACCTTCGAGCTTTACTCGGACTCCGAGCGCCTGTACCTGTTCGGCACGGATAATCCCGACGCCATGCGCGAGTGGGTCAAGTCCATCGCTAAGGTAACCACACACTCGTGTTAACTTCACTAATGAACTATGACCAGAAACATTCGTTGACGACCTTTCCTTCCATGACTAAGACGAGGCGATAACTGTGACTATATCAACACTAAAACCTCTCGCTGGTTTATTATTACAGACTGTTTTTAACCAGCCGGCGTGCGGTCGCCAGATTTCAAGAATCTAAATCCCCAATCAGAGCTTTTCTGTTAAAAGAACACGTTTTCTACCCGATGTTTTACTTAATATTTGCAATCTGGCGACCATGTGTCACACTTTGGAAATCAGATGTGAACACATGAGAAACCCAGATGAACACGTGAGCTGTATATTGCATATGGTATTGTGCTGAAATGAAGGAGTCATCCAGCCAGCCTGAGTTCTGGCGCTGGTGTCTGTGACTAACCTTCTGTAATAAGTCCACTCATGAATCTCCACTATATGAATAAATGCACATACGCAGCTGTGTGTGACAATTAATAGTTTTTTTTTGCTGTTGTTTTAATAAAAAAAAGAATGTAATGTGGAATTACTATGAGAAATTTCACCGTTTGAATTTTTGAGAGAAATGTCTTGTTTTCATAATAAAGAGAATGCGTTCGTTTATGATAAATAGCCTATGATAAAATCAGGAAACTAGATTAGGTCCAATAAAGCATGCATTTGAGTTTTATGGACATTATGAGACTATATGAGACATTCTCTAGATTTGTACTTGTATTTGAAATTCTGATGAAATGCAAATATAAATTTCTCAAATGACAACAATTGTTGTGATTTATAATTGTAAGCAAAATAATCGGTAGCCTATTATAAATGTAACCATTATGCAGCATGACGAAAATAAGTCTTCATTGACCAAAACTAGACTAAAATGCCCATGCTTTTTGTCGGCTAAACCTTGACTGAACGAAAGCAGGGCAAGGTTGATGAAATATGATAAAAACTAAAAAGTACATTTGACACAGGACAAAACTAACACTACGTCACAGATGTTCTGATCCGGGCCGCTGGTTCTGATCGGACTCTCACTTGTCTCACTGGGTCTCACTCTCTCTCTGTGTGTGTGTGTGTGTTCCAGTCGTTCATCCCCTCGGGAGCTGAGGATCTGCTGCTGAAGGACTTCGAGCGCATCGGGCGCCTGCGCTACAAGGACCGGCTGAACCGGGAGATGTCCCGACTGGGCTGGTTCTGTCTGGTGGGATCCGGTCTACACATCCGGCTGGAGGAGAGCAACACCGACGAGACCATCGACCTGCAGAAGCTCCAGGAGCTCTGTGAGTCACACACATCAACATCACACACACACACATCTACTAGGAAATCAGTTAAAGTGACACAGACCTGTTTCTACTCTGAGTGTGGATTCTAGAATAATAGAACAAGTTGTGGTTATGTTAGCAAGAATAGTTTCATTTATGATTTTGACACGATAAACATGACACACTAATCCACAAGTTCACATGAATGAGTCAGTGAATCTTTCACTCAACCGATTCACTCAATTCACTGATTCCCTCAGGAATGAAACGCGGTTGAGTGTTGCTGGGAGATGCGCTGTGGTTCTGCTGTGATCTTTGTTTGGAACTATTTTCATTGCTGAAACAGAACAAAAAAAAGTCAATATTGTCCATGATTTTGTACATGTATTTGACTGCATCTATAATATTTGTGTCTCTGTAAATAATTTATTTTAAGTGTTAAGTTTTCCTTCTAATGTGTGTGCAGCGATCCAGCCGGAGAATGAGGTTCTGGTTCTGGTGGAGCGGGGCAGGTGAGCAGGAGCAGGTTTGAGTCTCGTGTGAGTGTGAGTGTGTGTCTGACTAACAGGAGGTCTCCCTCAGGACGCTGTACATCGAGGGCGAGAGGAAGCTGGACTTCCAGGGCTGGGCGGCAGCGATCCAGAGGAATGCTGGGAGTTCTGGAGACACACTGAGCCAGCAGCAGCTGACGGACTCCGATATCCCCGTCATCGTGGAGCGCTGCATTCACTTCATCACACAATACGGTGCTCAACTCTATTCTGACATACTCTATTCAACTCTACTCTGTTCTACTCTATTAAACTCTATTCTGATCTACTCTATTCAACTTTATTCTGACATACTCTATTCAACTCTATTCTGGCCTACTCTATTGAACTCTAGTCTGACCTACTCTATTCAATTCTATTCTGACCTACTCTATTCAACTCTAGTCTGACCTGCTCTATTCAACTCTATTCTGCCCTACACTATTCAACTATTCTGATCTGCTCTATTCTGACCTACTCTGTTCTACTCTATTAAACTCTATTCTGATCTACTCTATTCAACTCTATTCTGACCTGCTCTATTCTACTCTATTCTGACCTGCTCTATTCTACTCTATTCTGACCTACTATATTCAACTCTATTCTGACATACTCTATTCTGACCTACTCTATTCTGACCTACTCTATTCTGACCTACTATATTCAACTCTATTCTGACCTACTATATTCTACTCTATTCAACTATTCTGACCTGCTCTATTCTGACCTACTCTGTTCTACTCTATTAAACTCTATTCTGATCTACTCTATTCAACTCTATTCTGATCTACTCTATTCAACTCTATTCTGACCTGCTCTATTCTACTCTATTCTGACCTGCTCTATTCTGACCTGCTCTATTCTACTCTATTCTGACCTGCTCTATTCTACTCTATTCTGACCTACTATATTCAACTCTATTCTGACCTACTATATTCAACTCTATTCTGACCTACTATATTCTACTCTATTCTGACCTGCTCTATTCTACTCTATTCTGACCTGCTCTATTCTGACCTGCTTTATTCTACTCTATTCTGACCTGCTCTATTCTACTCTATTCTGACCTGCTCTATTCAACTCTATTCTGACCTACTATATTCAACTCTATTCTGACCTACTATATTCAACTCTATTCTGACCTACTATATTCAACTCTATTCTGACCTGCTCTATTCTACTCTATTCTGACCTACTATATTCAACTCTATTCTGACCTACTATATTCAACTCTATTCTGACCTACTATATTCTACTCTATTCTGACCTGCTCTATTCTACTCTATTCTGACCTGCTCTATTCTGACCTGCTTTATTCTACTCTATTCTGACCTGCTCTATTCTACTCTATTCTGACCTGCTCTATTCAACTCTATTCTGACCTACTATATTCAACTCTATTCTGACCTACTATATTCAACTCTATTCTGACCTACTATATTCAACTCTATTCTGACCTACTATATTCAACTCTATTCTGACCTGCTCTATTCTACTCTATTCTGACCTGCTCTATTCTGACCTGCTTTATTCTACTCTATTCTGACCTGCTCTATTCAACTCTATTCTGACCTACTATATTCAACTCTATTCTGACCTACTATATTCAACTCTATTCTGACCTGCTCTATTCTACTCTATTCTGACCTGCTCTATTCTGACCTGCTCTATTCTACTCTATTCTGACCTGCTCTATTCTACTCTATTCTGACCTACTATATTCAACTCTATTCTGACCTACTATATTCAACTCTATTCTGACCTACTATATTCAACTCTATTCTGACCTGCTCTATTCTACTCTATTCTGACCTGCTCTATTCTGACCTGCTTTATTCTACTCTATTCTGACCTGCTCTATTCTACTCTATTCTGACCTGCTCTATTCTGACCTGCTCTATTCTACTCTATTCTGACCTACTATATTCAACTCTATTCTGACCTACTATATTCAACTCTATTCTGACCTACTATATTCAACTCTATTCTGACCTGCTCTATTCTACTCTATTCTGACCTGCTCTATTCTACTCTATTCTGACCTGCTCTATTCTGACCTGCTCTATTCTACTCTATTCTGACCTACTATATTCAACTCTATTCTGACCTACTATATTCAACTCTATTCTGACCTACTATATTCAACGCTATTCTGACCTGCTCTATTCTACTCTATTCTGACCTGCTCTATTCTGACCTGCTTTATTCTACTCTATTCTGACCTGCTCTATTCTACTCTATTCTGACCTGCTCTATTCTGACCTGCTCTATTCTACTCTATTCTGACCTGCTCTATTCTACTCTATTCTGACCTACTATATTCAACTCTATTCTGACCTACTATATTCAACTCTATTCTGACCTACTATATTCAACTCTATTCTGACCTGCTCTATTCTACTCTATTCTGACCTGCTCTATTCTACTCTATTCTGACCTGCTCTATTCTGACCTGCTTTATTCTACTCTATTCTGACCTACTATATTCAACTCTATTCTGACCTACTATATTCAACTCTATTCAACTATTCTGACCTGCTCTATTCTACTCTATTCTGACCTGCTCTATTCTACTTTATTATACTCTATTCAACTCTATTCTGAACTACTAAAGTCAGAATAAAGTTGAGATATTTTGAGATTAAATTTGAAATATTTCGAGATTAAAGTTGAAATATTACGAGAATTGTAATGTTGCCTGTGTGTGTGCTGCAGGTCTGACCTCAGAGGGCATCTACCGTAAGAGTGGTGTGAACAGTAAGATCGCCGCCCTGCTGGAGGAGTTGAGGCGTGACGCGAGGTGTGTGTGGCTGAAGGAAGGAGAGCATCAGGTGGACGACGTGTCTAACGTCCTCAAGCGCTTCTTCAGGGACATCGAGGAAGGGCTGTTCGGCCCCGAGGCGCACGCCTGGCTCAGCGCCACAGGTTATTAATAACTATACCAGATTATTAAAGGGCATAATTAATCAGGGTTCCCACGGGTCCTTGAAATTTGGAATATTTTATAATGTATTTGATCTACACTGTTTGTCCCCACATTAAGTCCTTGAATTTGAGGGTATTGGACCTTGGTACTGTACTCTACTCTACTGTACTCTACCTCTACTCTAGTCTACTGTACTATTCGGTTGTTAAGTCTGACGTCACGCGTGACGTTTAGCCTCTTCCGGGCCCAAGCGCTCCGCTCGTCCACTCCAGATCCTAGACTAAATAAACCCTTTTCTTAAGGGCTTTTTTCGCTTCAGTGCCAGTGGGTGTTACTAGGGATTAAGGGATAGCACCCACTGGCGCCAAAGTTTCTTCATTCGTTTAAGATTTGTAACTTACCTTATCAACTGCAGCCATTTTCTCTTATCTTTCTCGTCACAGGGAAAGCAGTAGAATGACAGTTGAATGTCACTTGTTTTTTAACTCCGATCTATTTAAACAACACGGGAACATGTTAAAACTCGGGCGAAAGCGGTAGGTAGGTAGAGAGGACCCGGCCTTTGGACCCGGAAACAGTATTATCGGAGAGTGGTTACGTCACGACTTAACAACCGGATACTTTAATGTACTCTACTGAACTCTACCTCTACTTTACTGTACTCTAATGTACTCTATCTCTACTCTACTGTACTCTACTGTACTCTACTGTACTCTACTGTACTCTACTGTACACTTGTGAATCTGCATTTCCTTCAGCCTGAGACTTATTATTTCACTTTTGGTGTGAAAGGGTCTTTACATTTGCCTAAAAATAGAACTTTTTTGTTATAAAAAAAACAAGCCCAGTCCAGGTGGGAAAAAGTAACCCAAAAGTAACATAACGCATCAGTTTTCTTAAAAAGCAACTAAGTAACGCAATTAGTTACTTTTTAATGGCGTAACGCAATATTGTAATGCATTACCTTTCAAAGTATCTTTCCTCAACACTGGCTATTAATAATGATAGATATCAGCAGATGATTAATGTGTGTGTGTGTGTGTGTGTGTGTGTGTGTGTGCGTGTGTGTGTGTGTGTACAGGTGTTTCAGATGAGAGCAGTCGTATCTGTCAGTATCGTCTTCTCTTCAGTAACCTTCCCCGAGTGAACCAGGCGACACTACGAGCGCTAGTTAATCATTTATACTGGTGAGACACACACTTCCTCTTTCTCACACACACTTCCTCGCCGCTCTGCTTTCAGTCTCTGATGTGTGTGTGTGTGTGTGTGTGTGCAGCGTCCAGCGGTTTGCGGATCTCAATCAGATGAATCTGCATAATCTGGCGATCGTGTTCGGGCCGACGCTGTTCCAGGCGGACGGGAAGGACTACAGCGCCGGCCGGGTCATCGAGGACCTCATCCAACACTACGTCACTATCTTCCACGTATGTTCACACACACACACACACACACACACAACACTCATGCTGATCCAGACCGCTAGAGTCTGTGTAGAGTTGAGGAGAGACTGCATCAGCGCCATCTGTTGGTGAGACTAGAGTATGACCTTCAGCGTGTGTGTGTGTGTGTGTGTGTGTGTGTGTGTGTGTGTTACAGGTGAACGAGCAGCAGCTGAAGAAGCAGTTAGATGAGATCACATACATCATAAAGCTCAGAGACAATCTCACGCCTAAAGCTGGAACGGTAAGAGTTATGATTATTCTGCTGTCAGTCCCTTATGGAAGTAAAATAACGCCACATGCTTTTGAAAGCTTGCATTGCTCTTCTTGAAAAATGATGCATTGCATTAACCGTGCTTAATTAAACATGGTTGTATATTTAAGCTGTGAATATTTCAATTAAAAACATTTCACACACATTTCATTATTACAAATCCAATAATCCATATTCACCTTTCAGATTTCACCTCCGAAATATTCATTCCGTTTAAAAAATATAATCTAAAATATTCGATAGGCAAATTTCGGTCCAATTTATTTCGCTTCCAGAAATTCAGTGGTTCAAATTCCACAAAAAATTCTACATTTCACACCCGGGAACTGCAGGAATATTACCGATTCATAATCTGATAACAAGCTGTGTTTGCATTAAAGTCTTCACGGTGCTTTTGCACATGTAAGCAGCTTTCTCTATTATAACGTTATATTCCCCGATGCTGACGTCTGAGGTAGGAGAGTTTCCTTCCAATAAAAATATAAAGAAATTAGACTGAAATTTGCCTGTCGAATATTATAGATACATTATATATTAAATATATTATATTTAATAATGAAAATGTGTGAGATAAATAATGAGAATTTCAGCCCAATAAAATGCAATGCATCATTTTTCAAGTAGAGCAATTCAACAAGCTTTTTTGTTTCAAAAGCATTTGTCATTATTTTACTTCCATTTTTAGTCCCTCTTTCTAGTTCTTAAGGCACAGAATGATAAACCTGCTGCTTATTTGTGTTACATTTGTGGCATGTTTTCATCTAACTTGCCTTGAAATCCAGCAACAATCGTTATGCATTTATATAATTCATATCTCTGACAGAAAGGGAAGTTATGTACACTTAAAACACTCATTAGCGAATGCAGAGAGTCAGTCTGGTGACACTTAGCACTCATATTTTAATTGGTAAATATTAAAATCCAGATGTGTGTGTGTGTGTGTGTGTGTGCAGGGGAGTGGTGATTTTATCTGCACGGTTTACCTGGAGGAGAAGAAGGAAACCGCCGAACAGCATGTAAAGGTGCGCTTGACCTTTGACCTGCCGTTAGGATCTGAGAAGCGTCACACTCAGATGTTAATGAAGTCAGTGTGAAGTGTGTACAGGGTTTCCTCGGGGCATCAAAAGACATTAAATGGATTTTGCAAAAATTAAGGCCTTAAATTACATTTTATTCGTACAGGCATTAAGAATGTTGATAGTTTTAAAGAAAATTTGATATTATCAATTTATTTTAATATAGCCTTCATAATTAATCATTTTAATTTGCTTTGGCAAAATATGTGCGTTAGTGTGATAAACACAGTATAGTTTCATCATTGCATCATCGTCAAACTGAATGCTTGCAATTCAGAATTTGGGACACGTCTATTTAAAAAAAAATCAATTATATATATATAAATATATATACTGTATGTAATATCTGTGGTTAGTCATGGGCAGTGACGTTATCTTTTTCAGTAACGAGTAATCAAACGAATGACTGTTTCCCCCGTTACAACGCAGTTACCGTTACTGACAAAAACATGTGGCGTTACTATAATTGAACTCACTGAAGCGGTTTTCACCCGAGTAGGCTCTCTCTCCGCCATAGGACCTGCAAAGTTTTTTCTCTGGTGTGTGTGTGTGTGTGTTTATGAGGCGCCGGAGTGGACAAAAGCGAAGCGAACGGCGCGAGAGAGACCGAGTGTGTCCGAGCATTATATAGTTTGTGTATAAATAAATGACACATTCCAGCATTAGACAGCATTATCTATAGCCTATTGGTATCATCTGCAACGTTAATTAATTGACATGGTTATACAAATAAAATCTAAATAATAACCTACAGGGAACGTTCTGTTTAGGTTATAAAATAAAACCCGAAAATAACCTGCAGGGAACATTCGAAAACATCTTTGTTTGACCGGTTGTAAACGCGTGCGGCAAACATGTCTAGAATTTGGCTTAAATAACCTCTGATGATGACGTTTGCAAAAAATAAACCCCCAAAATATTATATTTGAGTATTATATATATATATATTTTTGGTACATTGTTCAGTATTATATTGAGAGAGCACTTGTTAAACTGTTTACTTTTGTAAGGAATAAAATACTTAGGCTACAGTATGTCTACTAGTTGTGAAGTTGTGTAACAGTTTTATCATTTAATATGCACATTTTTTATTCTTATTTATTCATTTTTGGTACATTTCTTAAGAAGCATAATTTATTTTTAAACTAATTTGTTGGCCAGTTGGGCTCTGTGTGATATTAAGTATAAACCATCTATAATGTTTTATTGTTCTACTATAGTAATGCTAATATTTAGAATAATATATTGAATTTAATAGGCGTCTCTCACATTGTCCCACAGCAACATTAAAATAGAATAAATTATTATTATAAAACATTGAACACTAATCCACACTATTAAGTGTCCATTTCATTAATTTAACATATTTAATACTGGGGGCATCCAAATAATTTGACATAGGCCTATTTGATTTTTTTTTTTTTAAGTAACGCAATAGTTACTTTCTCTGGTAATTAGTTACTTTTATAATGATGTAACTCAGTTACTAACTCAGTTACTATTTGTGAGAAGTAACTAGTAACTATAACTAATTACTTTTTTTAAGTAACATGCTCAACACTGGTCATGGGTCATGTATGGCATTAACATTTTGAAGTGTGACCTTTGTTTTCTGACGTGTGACCTTTGACCCCGGGCAGATTCCCGCCGCGATGACATCAGCAGAACTGACCTTTGAGGTTCTGGACCGGCGGAAACTCAGCGTGAGGGAGAAGGACTACTGGTGCTGCTTCGAGGTGAACGAGAAGGAGGAGACGGGTGAGTGACTGATACACTGATGCAGCTCAGTGTGTGTGTGTGAGGGGGGTTTCATGTGTGTGTGTGTGTGTGTGTGTCTCAGAGCGCCCGCTGCACTTTCAGGAGAGAGTTCTGCCCATCTTTCATTCTCTGGGAACCGACAGTCACTTACTCGTCAAGAAGCACTTCTCCATGGAGGCCATGCTGGTGTACCTGGGTAAGAGTGTGAGTGTGTGTGTGTGTGTGTGTGTGTGTGTGTGTGAGAGAGAGAGTGTTAGAGTGTGTGTTGTGTGTTTAGTTTATTATAGCCACTATATTTCCTGATTGTGTGTGTGTGTGTGTGAGAGAGAGAGAGTGTTAGAGTGTGTGTTGTGTGTTTAGTTTATTATAGCCACTATATTTCCTGATTGTGTGTGTGTGTGTGTGTGTGTGTGAGAGAGAGAGAGAGAGTGTTAGAGTGTGTGTTGTGTGTTTAGTTTATTATAGTCACTATATTTCCTGATTGTGTGTGTGTGTGTGTGTGTGTGTGTGAGAGAGAGAGAGAGAGTGTTTGAGTGTGTGTTGTGTGTTTAGTTTATTATAGCCACTATATTTCCTGATTGTGTGTGTGTGTGTGTGTGTGTGTGTGTGAGAGAGAGAGAGAGAGTGTTAGAGTGTGTGTTGTGTGTTTAGTTTATTATAGCCACTATATTTCCTGATTGTGTGTGTGTGTGTGTGTGTGTGTGTGTGTGAGAGAGAGAGAGAGAGTGTTTGAGTGTGTGTTGTGTGTTTAGTTTATTATAGCCACTATATTTCCTGATTGTGTGTTTGTGTGTGTGTGTGTGTGTGCTTTGTTTATTATAGTCACTATATTTCCTGATTGTGTGTGTGTGTGTGTGTGAGAGAGAGATAGAAAGACTGTTTGAGTGTGTGAGTGTGTGTTTTGTTTATTATAGTCACTATATTTCCTGATTGTGTGTGTGTGTGTGTGTGTGTGTGTGTGTGTGTGTGTGTGTGTGTGTGTGTGTGTGTGTGTGTGTGTGTGTGTGAGAGAGAGAGTGTTTGAGTGTGTGTTGTGTGTTTTGTTTATTATAGTCACTATATTTCCTGATTGTGTGTGTGTGTGTGTGTGAGAGAGAGATAGAAAGACTGTTTGAGTGTGTGAGTGTGTGTTTTGTTTATTATAGTCACTATATTTCCTGATTGTGTGTGTGTGTGTGTGTGTGTGTGTGTGTGTGTGTGTGTGTGTGTGTGTGTGTGTGTGTGTGTGTGTGTGTGTGTGTGAGAGAGAGAGTGTTTGAGTGTGTGTTGTGTGTTTTGTTTATTATAGTCACTATATT